TGTGCGGAGGGCGGACGGGGGTCGCTGCGGCTGCGGGCGGCCCCGGGGCAGGGGCTGCAAAGGTTCAGCCCTCCGGTAAAACCGAGTGTTCGCGGCTCGGTTTAGTGCTGTTTGACAAAATGTAATTATCGACTTGTTCATCTTCAGTCTTTCCTTTCCACAAGATCAAACTGTAGGAAAAAATATTTAATAAAAATTTAGAGAAATCAAAAAAAAAAAAAGATGGGAGCTGGAGATTTGGCTCAGCGGAAGAGCGCTTGCCTAGCGCAAGGCCCTGGGTTCGATCCTCAGCTAGGGGAGTAGGGGGTGTGGCCGCGACAGGCCCGGGCGCTGGGCTTTGTGGATGAGCTTGAGCCGCCCCTCCAGGGGGCCGGGGAGAGGGGGTGACTGACGGTGAGGACCCCGGCCAGGAAGGGCGCGGAGCAGGGCCACCATCCACACTATCCGCGGTCCTGGCACCCAGGAGACAGACCAGAGGACTGCGGTCCAGCCTGGGCTACGCACTGAGCCCCAACTCAAAGCAAGGCTGATGGTGCGTAGCGGCCGGGCGGCGGCAGGGGGACCAGGGGTTCAAGGCCAGCCTGGGCTACAGGAGATGCAGCACGGAAAGGAACATGCAAAGCTGGCGAGGTGGCTCAGCGGTTAGAGCGCCAGCGGCTCTTCAGAGGCAGATGTCTAAAGGACACACGGGGCTGGGAGCGCACTCCGCGGGTGCGCCCACCCCGCCCGGGGGCGCCCTGGACGCGCCCACCTCCCGGAAGAGCACGGAAGGCGGGGTGGGCGCTGTGGTCAGGCCAGCCTGCCGGGTGATGCGGGCGCTGGGCACCCCGGGTGGTGAGGGATTGTGGGCGCCGGGGTGGGAGTCAGCACAGGCTCTTAGCCGAGCCACTGAACCCCTTCTTCCACGCCCCCGGAAGCCAGACACACGCCATGTCGCTGTCCCCACACCAGCAGCCACCACTTGCCGAAAATAACTTATTTATTTGTGCAGCGCCCTGGGTTCGGCTTGTGCTCCTGATGGCGGGGGCAGGAGGCGCCCCACGCACCGCTCCAACCCCGGGAAGCCGCTGACCTCGGGGACCCCAGTGTTCCCCGACATCTGGAAGCTTCCACGCTGCGGTGTGCCTGTCTGGAGCACTGTGCACCAGCACCCAGGGAGGCCGGTGTGGAGGCCGCACGGCTGCCTGGTCCCCTAAGCCTGGGTCGTGGGCGCAGCTGGTGGAGTCCCCGTGGGGCCAGGCAGGCAGCCCCGGGCACGGCCCACAGAACCCTGGCCCAGGGGAGGGGAGCCGCAGCAGGGGGTCACGGAAGGCGGAGTCCTGGGTGGCGGGGCCGGGGGCCGCGGTGCTGGTCGGCCGATGCGGTCGAGGTCGGTG